AGCAGATTTTAAATTGGAATGAGGTGGCAAGGACTGCTTGCTCTTTTAGCTTTTTTTTTTTAAACAGGAAAACAGGTCCAAATGATGACATAAAATTTAACTGAAATTTACTTGGTTATTGCAAGAATTTACTGGTGGTGCTCTAAAACAATGAGTTTTCCTCCCTCATTGTCTGTCTCCTAAAGCATCTATTTTTTTGTTTCTGCTGTTTCAACTTCGTACATGGGATTGTTGAGCCCTGACTATGTGCAAAGCCAGTGCTTCAAATTATTTCTTTGGCTCACCGTGTATGGTAGATCCCCATTCTAAGGTTATGAAAGCTGGCTGTTTTTAGGGGCCCTGTGTCTGTTTTTCTTAAGAAGAATGTACTGGTAATTTCTAGGCTGTGTTAGATGCACAGTCTTATGATGAATGAAAGTCACAGAGCTAGAAATATTTCCAGGACTTAAAAAATATGAAGAAAAATGCTCTCTCTTCCTTAAGAATTAAAAAAAAAAAAGCTAGCTGATATGAAATATGATTGTGCTTATTAGCTGTTACCAGATAAGAATGATTTCTAACAATTTCCATTGTTTCCCTCTCCTTTTGAAACATGCGACCCAGAACTGCGGTGATAACACGGCTGGTGCCCACTGCGATGTGTGCACTCCCGGCTACTACGGGAAGGTGACAGGCTTGGCCAGTGACTGTTCTCCGTGTGCCTGTCCTCACAGCCGCCCCGCCAGGTGAGCCCGCACAGGTGCAGCCTGGCATGCAGGCTCCTGTGGCTAGAACTGCTTCCATTTTTAGCCTCATTTTCCAGTGTCTATAAGAGGTCTATATTAATGAACATTCTGCATGTGTTGAGAAAGGCTGATTTTAAGAAAAGGCATTCATTCCTATAAGCATTTCAAGAGAATCTTTTCAATAGCAAAGGATCTGTGTTGGTATTGGGCGTTAGAATGGAACCAATTAAAGAAAGGACTTACAGTTTTTTGTTTTTGTTTTTGTTTTTGTTTAACTATTTTTAGCTCCCAGCCTATGTATCCAATCTGCATTGAGATAAATTATTAATTTTATGAATAATGATACAAAAGAATTCAATTCATATTTAATTTAAGGGAATGGGGTTAGAATGTATATATGCCAGTGCCTGATTAAGTGCTAAAATACTACATAGTGATAATTGGGACCACTTTCTATTCTGTCCTCACGAAGCTTGTATAGAATTACCTAAATGAAAAAAAGAATCAGAGAGTTGAAGTGGACATTGGAATATCAACAAGTCCTCCTCTGGTTGAAATAAAAATTGTAATTTATAAAAAAAAAAAAAACCATTTTATTATTGCTTAGAATATTTGGCAAGGCAAATATAAAAACATATAAAAACCAAATGCTAAATGAAGTTTTCTTTTTATTATTTGTTTGAATCGTCTATCTTTTATCGCCTCCAAGTAAGTGATGCTTGAAGGTGCACACCATCCCTGTCAGCCAGCAAGCGTCCTCACGTTTGTTTCTGCTATTACTTTTTTTGTATTAAATCTGTATATAAGTGGGAGCTAAGAAAGAAAGAAAGAAACAACAATCACAATAATACAGTGAACTTTCAGAAGGAGAGAACAGAACTGAGGTTACTAGAGGTGGGAAAGGGGGAGGGAGATCAGTGAGAAACTGGTTAGTGGACACGAAGAATGATTACATTTTACAACAATGAACATGCTAATTATCCTGATTTGATCATCAGGGATTGTACAAAAGTATTGATGGTCAACTCCGTACCCCACAAATATGTATAATCAATTGTGTTTCAATAAAATAAATCCATTTATAAATTTTGACTCATCAATTCCATTTCTGTAGTCTGTGCAACAGAAATTCTTGCATATTTGTGTAAAGATAGATATATTTTGGCATTGCTTGTACTCACCAGGAATTGGGGGAACAATGAAATACCTACTACAGGGGATGGATTATATACATTGTGGTCCATTCCTAGAGTGAGATATTGTACAAACACCAGGAAAAGAATAATGTACATCTGTAGGAACAGAATTAGAGAAACGGCCAATTGAAGTACGTGATTGAATATGTAGTGTGATGCCATTTTAGAAAATTTTACATCAGTATATATGTGTATATCCACATCCACAGCTCTATGGCTATATGTGCCCAGAGAAATATTTATAAGGATATTTCCCTCTTCTATTTTGCACATTTCTATACTGTTTGAATATTTCACTTCCTCAATCAAAAAAAGGTTATAACTGCTCCTAAAGTTCATGTTAATAAATTGAAGTTTGCACTATTAGGAAGAGATTGTGTGGGTATGAACATTCTACATGTGCTCTGAATCTGAGGCCATAAAACGCACGCTTTACTTTCTACATTTTTTGTGTTTCTACTGAAGTTTGCTTCTTTACCATTTAAGGAGGAAAAGAAGTCGGAAGTGGTGAGAGGCTGATAACTCACGATGGAAAATTCATCTTACTAGCCAAAAAGAACCATTCTAACTCTAGGGGGGATTTGTTTTAATAGCTTGCAGGTACCCAAATTAGCCTCTAGATGGCGCATTGGTCATTTAAAATGTGGAGGCAGAGGCTGTTGGAAAGGAAGGAGCCAAAAGTTGAAACCCATGAATGAGATCAGCGTCCTAGTAGATTATTAACCTCTGAGTGGCTCTGTCGTTACTTCTAATGGCCCAGCACGTCACTCTCTCTTGACCTTCAGGCTCATTTATTTTCCAATTCCACGCTACCTCGCTGCTCTCCTCCCCCTTGGCTTGCACCCTTGTCTTTTCTTACACCCGGTGGAGTTCTATTCCTGGCATTGGTCCAGCCCTCTTCTCCCTGCTGCATTTCAACCCTCTGATCAGCCTGTCACCTCGTGTGCCAGGTAATTCTTTACTTAAAGCTCAGAACAAGACCCTTTCTACCTGGGATGCTCTCTTGTTGGGTGACTGATTAGTTAGAATCTGTATAACTAGCACTCACGGGATTGTCACTGGACAGGGGTCTCTCATGAATGTCTTTTGGATACAAGATATGCACACACTTATATTAATTACATGTTATTTTCTTTCTTTCTTTTTTGCCCAATAGATTGTAAGCTCTAAACAGCTTGTCCAATCATCCAGTGTGATCATATAACTTTGAGAACAGTATTGTGTATCTTAAGAGTAATGAATAAATACCTTGAGAAAGATTTAAAGTCGTAGATCTGAAAATTAAAAAAAAAATCTTTTCTTCCAGCTTCAGTCCAACTTGCGTCTTGGAAGGTGATCGTGATTTCCGCTGCGATGCCTGTCGTCTGGGCTATGAAGGACAGTATTGTGAAAGGTACACTGTTGAGTTATCACATGGAAATTGCTAGGTGCCTCTGTTCCTTTTATACCGTATTGGACATGTTTACTGTAGTGATTTGGGAGTCGTTATCAATTTGGATGTGCATGATTGATATGAACTGAACTGGACCTCATTACTGTTCCAAAACAAGTTCTCCTGAGGTGAATGGACCTGTGTCTTTTGCATTTCACTTGGCAGAAGTGATTATTTCCTGGGGTAAAAGCTGGTTTGCGTGTTTACTTGCTGATGCGGAATGTACACCTGCCTGTCTCCCTTGCTGCAGGTGCTCCTCAGGCTACCATGGAGACCCCCGCACACCAGGGGGCAGTTGTCAGAAGTGTGACTGCAGCCCACGTGGCTCTGTCCACGGCGACTGTGACCGCGCGACCGGGCAGTGCGTCTGCAGGCCGGGGGCCGCAGGGCTGCGGTGCGAGGCGTGCCAGCCGAGGCACACGCTGGTGGCAAGTGACTGTGTCTGTGCGTATTTCTCTTCTATGTGCTTCTCCTCTCGAATCCTTCTCCTTTGTGAGGAAGAAAGTGGCCACGGCTCCCTATCATGTCAGCAGAACACAAAAAGTCCTATTTTATCATATGTTTGTTTTATTTTACGATTTTGACTAAGCACAGATGGCTGTTACATCTGCCGAACTGAACCTTCAGCCCAGTGTCTCTGAGCTGAGGCAGGAGGTCCTGGGACAGCGGCTGCACTTCTCTGGCAGTTGACCCAGCTCAGAAGTTTCCTCTTTGTAGTTTAGCTGTGTGAGTTTCCTTAGCAGGGCCAAGGCCAGTCAGTGCAGGAGAGGAAACACCTGTGGGCTGTCACCTGCATTACCCGGATTTCACTGAAGCTTCAGCATTGGCTGTAATGGACTTTTTGTTGTTTATTTCCAGCTCTGATTTATTTCACTGGCAAGGGCATGAGGTAGTCATCCTGGGACGTCTTCTCAGTGGATCGTGGGGAAGATAGGCAGGAATGTTAGGATCACTGGAGAGGTTTTTGCTTTTGTTTGTATGTTTGTTATCAGCAAAAACACCCCATGATTTTCTCCAGCATTTGTACTTGCTGTAGGCGCATCTGCAAACCACCCAAGGAAGTGCAGAACAGGCTGTGAAAGGAAACCCTGGGTTTACTGCAGTTGGTCCAAGCTAAAGTGAGCAAAGGCTCTGGAAAGGTCAGAGCAGGGTGATGGGATGTACCAGCCCCGAGGCCAGTCTTGGGCTTAGTTGTTTCTTTTTGGATGACCCAAGGGAAGTCACTTATCTGATCTGTCTCAGCCCGTCTAGAGTGAGAGTGAGGTCAGATGTGGGACACAGGGGCCTTGGACAGCACTCTGCCGCATTTGTGACTATCACAGCCCGGCCCAGGCAACCCCATGGGAGACGGCACTGCAAGAACTTCAACTCAACGTTTTTTCTTTTTCTTTTAGCTTGTGATGATGAGTGTGTGGGCGTGCTGCTGAATGACTTGGACGATGTTGGAGACGCCATTCTTTCTATGAACCTCACTGGCGTTTTCCCTCTCCCCTATGGAATTTTGTCAAACCTGGAAAACGCAACTAAATATCTCCGGGTAGGTACTGGGAATACAGAGATGGATAGAAACGTGGGTCAGTGAGAGGTGCAGTCAGTGGGGGAGAGAGGGGTCATTCTGTCCGTTGTCCCTCCTCCCCGCATAGGAGTCTCACTTCCATCGTCCCCCACTGGGAGGTTTCTGGCCTTCCCTTGGATGTGGCCGGTGATGGGGACCCCATCACCTCCAGCACTAATGCGTCTCACCGTGGGTCGGCTCTGACTGCTCACGAGTTGCTCCATAGAAACCTCCTTATAACTTCCACCCCCACTGCCCTTGTTCTGCCTTTTGGACTAAGACAGAGTCAGTTTGCTCCTCTTTAAGACAGACCTGTGTATATATATTTTTTTTCCTTTTTGTCTTTTTTCATGACCGGCAACAGGATCGCAACCCTTGGTGTTGCTCCCTGCACCTCACTCAGCCAGTGAGTGGGAACCGGTCTGTATGTGGGATCCGAACCCTCAGCGGGAGCGCCGCCTCGCTTCCCAAGCGGCGCACTGTAGCAGTGTGCCACCGGGCCGGCCCAGACCTGTGTATATTTGAAAACAGCTGTCCTAT